ATGCTAAATATGAGTATAAGATGACGATCAAAAGTTAGGGTTGTCACAGGTTCAGTGAATTAATTGAAGAGGTGTCAAGTTATTAACACTTTGCTTATTTATTGAAAGTGTCCATTGAGTCTTTGTACGCCTTTTAATGAGTTTTTGCTGGGTTGTGAGACAGGGGTGAGCACTTGTATTCAAAAGAGATTATTTGAGTGTTTTTTGGGAAAAAAAACTTAGTTAGAAGGATTCCAATGTTAAAAAGTCGAGGGGATCTCGCTGTTCAAGTCCATTGAGAAATTGCTAGTTCATAGGCGTCTTCTTAGAGAGGGAGTCTCGGGTAGATTAAGTCCAATTGAATTGTAAAAGAGTTCTTAGTGGATTGTTCACCATCTGAGCATAGCCCCGCGGAGTAGGGTGTTACCGAACCGTAATACCATTTATCTCGTGTTCTTTTATTTTATGTTTCTGCATTATTCATATTATCTTATAAAGTGTTAAAAGACTCAAACCGGAACCAACATATTTTATTTTATTTTTTAAAAATTCTGAAGATTACTATATATATATATATCTTTACAAAATAATAAAAATCGTGATCAAGACAAATTTAAAATTTGAGGGGCTAAACGAGGATTAAATGCTGTTAGTGAATTTTGAATTAAACTAATGGGAGATACATACATATTGCTTTAATCTAGAGAACATGTAAATAATTTATAGTCCGTCTATTGAACATAAACTCATTGCGAAATTTTAAGTTGATGCAGAAGAATAGATAAAATATGATTTTACTGGCCTAACTCTAATGGAAAACGGGACATAAAATCCTAAATGATTCCTTAGAAAAAAAAAATTTAAATTGGAGAGAACACTCAATTTTGTATTGAATTATCAAATATTCAAGTGTTCTTAATACAATAGCTAATGTGGCTATTTATAGTTCACATGCGAAATAATCATTAAATGATTCCTTAGAAATATATTTTGTCCTTTGTAATGTTGCAGGCTATCTATTTGATAAAACGGCTCAATGATGAATGAATTTTTTTTAATTTTCTTTTATAATTTAATGGTGTTGAATATAGTTGTTAGTGTTTGTGTTTTTTTTTTTTTTTTGAAATTTGTTTGGAAATATAGGGACCCTTTTGTTGGCATTCTGGGTGAGGAATAATTGTGATTCTTTTGGTGCTTTGGAGAGTTGGAATCATGGTGATGATTGTACTTGCTTGTGGTCGGGGTGTTAATTGTGAAGAGGGCAAAATTCAAATGTTGTAAGAAGTTTTTTCTTCTTTATGTTTGTTAAGATGTTTTCTCAGGATAGTAGATTGTGGTTTTAATGTTGTGCTTCACTGTTATTGCAGGAATGCGAGTGGTCTTTCTTTGGAAGGAATATTGACACCTGAATTTGGGAAAATCACGCGCTTGAGAGCTCTGTAAGGACTTAGGGCCTGTTTTGTTTGCTGATTCGAGTTGAGATATGACTTTATGTGATAACTTTTTACTGTAACAAAAAACTTAAATATGACTCTTTTTGAGAGCTTTTTACTTAACAAAACTTGAATTCTAAACTCAAATCAGTAAAATGAATGGGACCTTAGACTAAGTCATTCCATTATTGGTAGCTAAAAGCCTAATGTTTGGTATTATGAATGAATTGAGATCTTCTTTTATGTTTTCTGTCAACTATTGTTTAGAAACTAAAATGTTGTGAAATGGGGGTTATATTATAGTTCATCTGTGGTTGATCTGTTTCCTATTTAAAAAAAATATGACTGAACTGATATTAATGTAATGAAAAAGAAAAAAAAAAAGATAAAATCAATTTAGTACCATGTATTATTAATTAAATAGAAAGATATTAAGATTATTTTACGTCTTAAAAATCACTTCAAGATATTAGGATGTTTTTAAAATGTTACCGTTTTAATATTATTAAAATCAATGGATATTAAGAGCGTATTTCTAATGGGATACCAAAGTAATTTTATCTCGAGAAAAATGATAGTAATGATAATAAAAACTTCTCCATGTTATTTATTTTGGCATAATTAAGTAATTAATAACACTGTAAATAGAATATATGTTAGAATCAATTGCAACTAATTACCTGGTGTTTCGAGAATCCCAACCTGAAAGATTGGCCGACTCCATTAAAGCAACTCTCCACTTCTGCACTATCTCCATGTTATCTTTAAAGCGTTCTTCATGTTTTAGAAATGCCTTTCCATAACTTCCTTCTTGTTTTCGTATATGGGAGGGATCTACGTCGTAGAAAATGGGTATAACCATATGTTTATTTTCTCGGTGGCTTTCAAGTATATGCACAAGCTCACTTAAGCACCATGATGATGAAGCATAATCTTTTGAGAAAACTATAACCGAAATCTTTGAGATCCGGATAGCTTCAAGAAGTGCAGGTGAGATTTTGTCTCCTCTCTCAAGACTTTCCTCATCTATGTAGGTCTTGATTTTCTTTCGCTCTAAAGCAGCGTAAAGATGGCTTGTGAAAGTATTGCGCGTATCTTCACCTCTAAAACTCAGACAAACATCATATTTCTCCGAAGTAGAAGAAGCAGAAGAAGAACCTCCACCAGCATCCATGTCGATATCAGACACGAGTCACTCCTAGGATCAAAACTACGAGCAAAAATTCTCTCTTTCTCAGCTTTTGTGTTTCTTACAAAATGAAAGCTCTCTAATTTTGAGGTTTTTGAGAGGGCAGAGATTCATGAAAAGCAAGACTTGTTATGTGTTGAGAAATTTTTCTTGCCTTCCCACTGTTGGGAAGACTAGTGAGTCAACGTTTGTCATGTAGTCCCGACTTATTTCCAACGTTTGTTTAACGTATGCATATTAATACCGCATGAATATTAATTATCACAAACGAGAAAAAAAAAAAAAAACATACGTCGTAGAAAATGGCATATGTTAGAGTCTTGACGTTTTTGAGATGGTAGACATTTATAAAAGTAAGGCTCAACCATGTAAGCACCATGATGGCATATGTTTATTTTCTACGTAGTAGAAAATGGGTATAACCATATGTTTATTTTCTCGGTGGCTTTCAAGTATATGCACAAGCTCACTTAAGCACCATGATGATGAAGCATAATCTTTTGAGAAAACTATAACCGAAATCTTTGAGATCCGAATAGCTTCAAGAAGTGCAGGCGAGATTCTGTCTCCTCTCTCAAGACTTTTCTCATCTATGTAGGTCTTAATTTTCTTTCGCTCCAAAACAGCGTAAAGATGGCTTGTGAAAGTATTGCGCGTATTTTCACCTCTAAAACTCAGAAAAACATCATATTTCTCTGAAGTAGAAGAAGCAGAAGAAGAAGCTCCACCAGCATCCATGTCGATCACTCCTAGGATCAAAACTACGAGCAAAAATTCTCTCTTTCTCAGCTTTTGTGTTTCTTACAAAATGAAAGCTCTCTAGTTTTGAGGTTTTCGAGAAGGCAGAGATCCATGAAATGCAAGACATGTTATGTGTTGAGAAATTTCTTCTTGCCTTCCCAGTGTTGGGAAGACTAGTGAGTCAACGTTTGTCATGTAGTGCCGACTTATTTCCAACGTTTGTTTAACGTATGAATATTAATACCGCGTGAATATTAATTATCACAAGAGAGAAAAAAACATACCGCGCGAATATTATGTGCTGAAAAAATTTCATGGAATTTGAAGATAAAAGGAGGCAGGAATAATTGCCTTCACGTGAAGGAGCCCACCACTTGACGTAATATATAATTGCACTGTTTTATTATTTCAAAGATCGAAAGGATATATGTGGGAAAATTTATGTTAGGACACGTGTTATATACACTAGCAATAGTTTTTTTTTTTCATAAAGCGTGAGATGATCAAACTTTAAGGTAATCAAATAAGTAAAAGTAAAAAATTGTGTGAAATCTTCTTACGAACTCTCAAGTTTTTTTTAAATTTAAGACTCCTTTAATTCGTTAATTTAAATTAAACTATAATTTTATATAAAAATTTTTTATTATAATAAAAAAATTAAATATAATT